TTATTCTCTCTATTCATTCTCCAGATTCAAAGTTTGTGCCACGAAAGATCCAGGAACAAATTTGGCAAACAGCAGATGTTACTCTGAGGACAGGAAGAAGACAAAAAGAATGGACAGGCAGAAAGAGACGCACACCACCAGCTTTGGCTCAACCGTCCCGCCAGTCAGCCAGGAGCTGCCCTTGTTGAATGTGATGTCAACGCTGGACAATGGCCCAGTGTAGCCATCCCCATTGGAGTGAAGATCTTAAATGCTGAGCACTGCCTCCAAAGAAGGAAAGAGGTTAAGTGGATAAAAGGGTGATCAATAACTCTGAAATATTGACCGTGGCACAGTGCTGTGTCTGGTGCTAGTACAAAATTTGAATTATTGATCATGTATGTCGTATGCACATATTAGGCATTGAGTGTCCAGATACTGAAAGATTCCAAGAGGAATGAGCCCGAAGACCAGCTGTGTGACTCACTGGAGACTGGGGATTGGGTTAAGCCAATAACAAAGTCCCCCTGTGGGCTCATAAAACTTAGCAAATGCACAAGGAAATGAGTAGATGCATTTTGGTCCTCCATCTAAGTGCTGAAGAGATTATTCTCATGGCACACCAACAAGGTAAGCATCAAAACCCTTCCTTACAAAGTTCAGAGTTGTCTTATCCGTCAAGCACAAACAACAACAAAATCTCCCTGGCTTTATACACCAGAATCATGTCCTGCTCCTGCAAAATTATTTGTGGATCCAGGAACCCTTAGGGACAATGTCCTGTAAGCATTGGCTTGGCCTCCAAGGCTGGCTGAAACTGTGTCCCCTCCAGCCCATCACAGGCATCCATAATGGCCACCGAAGAGAAGATAGCATTGGAGGGTTTCCTGCCAGACATCCTGCCAGCCCCTCAGGAGGTCCTCACCCGCAACCTGCTTTCTCCAGCATGCTCCAGGGCACAGGAGGCTGATTTAGGTGGAGCACACAGATGAGCTCTCTTGTCCTCTGGCACCTCATGGGATGTGACCACTGGGGTGAAGCAGTAGGACTGTGGAGGGCAGAAGCTCTGGGAGCAGACGCTCAGCGAGTTCTGGGTGTGGTTCTTCCACTCACTCTCTGTGGGAACATGGTGGCTGACTGCATCTTCCTACCGAAAGCCAGCAAGGGAAGGGAGCGATGCCAGTCAAGGGTGGGATGGGAGGTCAGCTACCTCTGGAGCTGGAGATTCTCTCTCTTTCTCTGTCTCCTCATGGCTGCCCCTCCCCTGCCTTTTCAAGCCGATGCACTACCATAAGACCCCTCACTGTTACCAACATCAACTTGACCACCGTCTGTGTTCCTTTCTTAAAACCCAGCTCACTTGGGCTGGGGATGTGGCTCAAGCGGTAGCACGCTCATCTGGCGTGCGTACGGCCCGGGTTCGATCCTCAGCACCACATACAAACAATGATGTTGTGTCCGCCAATAACTAAAAAATAAATATTAAAAAATTCTTTTTCTCAGAAAAGAGTGTGAGAATTTACTAGTTAGCACCCCACTCAGGGCTGGGGATGTGGCTCAAGCGGTAGCGCACTTGCCTGGCGTGCGTACGGCCCGGGTTCGATCCTCAGCACCACATACCAACAAAGATGTTGTGTCCGCCGAGAACTAAAAAATAAATATTAAAAAAT